AGCAGCGGCGGCGGTACCTGTTCCCGACCCTCAGCTCCATGACGGCGGTGCGGCTCGCTGCTGCCCGCCTGCCCGGCCGCTTCCTGGGTCTGCGCTCCGGGAGGCGGCGCCGCTGCTGCCGCTACTGCGGGTCCGATCCGGCTCCGCCCCCCTCACGGCCCCGCTTTCACCATCGCTTTCCGGTTGCCCCGTCGCTCTCAGCGCCTCAATACGGGGCGGATGGGACAGTCCGAGCGCCGCCGCCGCTGCTCCGGCCCCTGCCGGCCCCGCTCACGCTCTCCCCGCCGCGGATGGACTCGGATCTTCCGGGCCTAAATCCCCCTTCAGCTGCCTAAAGGAGCCGCCGCCATCGCGCTGTGACGTCACTTCCCCTAGCAACCCGGAGGGGCGGGGCCACGGCGCTCTGGGGCGGGGCTTGGTTACTTAATGGATTGCGCAGCCGCAACCGGGCTTGTTTCGCTGCCCTTAGTCACCGCTCCCGCAGGACGGCTATGGCTGGTCTCTTTGAGTTTTTCATTTGTCTCCAACGGGAACCTGAGGAAGCTAAGTCGTGCGTGGTAGGGAATGGCCTGTAGGGAAAGGGTAGTCCCAGCTCTCGGGAGGACGAGTCAGAAGGATCTTGAGTTCGAGACCATCCTAGGCGACAGAGACCCTGCTTCTAATCACACCACATATATCAAAATAACATGTTGGAGAAGCCAAGCAGCAGTTCCTTCTGAAAAGCCCGGGAGAGGCGCTAAAGTGCTGCCCTTTGCAAATAGGGAAACGGGGTAGAGAGGAGATTCCAGGTCCAACTGTGGGGTCACAGGTAGACAATTTGTCAGTCGTAGGCAAAACGTGTAGTTGTGGCACCTTCTTGCTCATCAAGGATGGAAGGATGACAAGAAGGTAAATGTTGAATTCACTGAGTGTATAGAGGATATGACACAGACCCTGGTCTCTCTCCAGTGCCATATGCCTGGAAACCAAGTCAACATTTTTTTTTTTTAATGGTCTGTATTGGGTCTGAGTGTTCTTCCTGGAAAATGCATTCATGAATTCTGAAGTCCAGGCTGAAGGCTTGGCTGTCCCGACCACTGAGGAGGGCCTTCGGAGAAGTCACCAAACAGGAGGTATACCCTACACCCCACCCAGCTAGAAACACAGAGCCACGGATCAATTTAATGCTTTTTATTTGAACAGCTAGCACCCGGGCCGTGCTGTACAGAAGGTATAGAGCTGCATGACTCCTCAGGGCGACTCCTGGCGCGTGGGCGAGCAAAGCCGTCATGCAATTGCCCCGCAGGAACACACGGAGCTCGTATCTCTTCTTTTCTGGTCTCCTGGCTCCACCACCTTTCTTTTGGCGGTGCCACAGGGCCTGCCTGCACACAGCTGGCAGTCAGGTTGGGGAGCAATACACAGCGTGGCTGGAGATAGAAGACACCAGAAGGCAAACAAACCAGTAGCCATTGAGTGGTGGGGTAGCTGGGAACTACCCAACTTCTCAATTCAGGAAACAGAGCCAGACTTGACCAGAGTAGGAAAAAGAATCTCACTGACAGAATTCACTTATGATTTTTTTTCTAAAGAAAAATTAGAAATTTATGAACAGCACCTAGCTTCCCCATCAGAGAAACTCATATGTTAACCTGGAAACGGAACAGACCTGGTAGCTGGACCAACCTCCCTGTTAACAACCTTGGGCTGATTCAGGTCTGATCTTAGGCTAGTGGCCCTCCCTCGTGAGACACCTGCTCTGTCTCGAGTAGGAAACTGAGGGTGTGAGCTGCTGTGTGCCCAGGGTTCTGCCTGACTCTCCTGTCCTAAGTAAGTCAGGACAGCCAACTGATAAAGTGACCAAAGTTCTTGCTGTATTTACGTTTGATGGCCAAAAGGAGGCAATGCACGGGAAGGGCCCCAGGCGGGTTAAGGGTTAAGCACAATTAATAAAACTCAGAGAGAGAAATTGGGGTTCAACCTCAAGGTCCGAAAATTAAAACAGCCAGCCATTGACTATCTCTACCTAAGTCCAAAATGGCGATCCTGCCTCCAGGAATCTCAGAATTAAGACTGAGTTTTATATTCCTCTCTAGTGCTGGATTAAAGGTGTGCACCGCCCTGTTTCTATGGCAAACTAGTGTGGCTACTGGGATTAAAGATGTGTGTCACTACTACCTGGTCTGTAAGGCTGGCCAGTGCAACTGTTTTACTCTCTGAATTTCAGGCAAGCTTTATTTATTAAAATACAAGTAAAATGTCATTACAAGCAGGAGCAATCTCTTGTTTTTGAAGGTCATTTACAAACGACTTGTGCTGGGTCCTTGGCTTCCCATCACATTACCACAGGGCTTGCAAAGGCTGAGCATCCAGGGTTTGCAAAGGCCGAGCCCACAACTGGTGCTCACCACCGGCACCTCTGAAGCTCCAGTCCTTTCTGCACCCATGCACCACCCCTCACTGCTCTTTACTTGAACACCCTTGAGGAGGGGGCCAAGTATCAAACCTACAGACCCTCCTCATGCAATGGCAACATCTACACAAAGGCCCACATGGGTGCTTAGCAAGCATGCTGTGTTCTTTTGGAAATGGCTTTATTAGCTTCCTAGCTTAGGGCGATTCTAAGAGATAGACCACACTAAGCATTCAGTAAACTTCAGTTTTGTGAATGACCCCTGCGAACAGATGCCCAGCCCAGTGTAGGGTGCAGAGTCAGGCCAGCCCAAAACAAGACAACAAGGTACAGACACTGCCTTGAGGACCTGGGGTAACCTCTGTGGGATCCTGGATACCACCTCCCCCTCTTAGCATCACTTACCAACAAGGGTGCTGATCGGGCCCTCTCCTCCTTCAAAACTCATACCTGGACTTCCTAGGTATGTCTAGAACAAGGCACCCCTCCCCAGCCAAAGTCTATTTTAACCCCAAACCTCAACAGAAGCATAATTTTCTCAGGAAGGTCTGTGTGGCCTCTGTTGGGTTGGGGAGCTAGAGAACTTCCTGGCAGCCCCAACAGAACCTGGAGCATAGATTCATGACTTTGCTGAACATAGCCTGACCTCCATGCAACGGGAATCACTGCCAAGGTTGTGTGTGTCTGCAGATTCCTCCACCCCCAGTTGTGAGCCTCCAGATACACGGAAGACCACTTCAGTCCAAATTCCCCAGTCTCCCAGGCACAGGGCGAGGTTCCTTTTTCCTATCCAAATTGGGAAGCTGTGGAATCCAGCCTGACCTCCATCCTGTGCCACCAGAAAAGAAAGTGAGAAACAGAATGACCACGTCCTTCCTCCTGAAAGCATGAAGAAGGTCTTCTGATGAACAGCCCGTATGAGAGTATATAGCCTTATTTAAATAGAGCTCACCTTCCATGAGGCTTACCTGTATCCTCAGAGGTACGCCACCAAACCTCCGCAGATTTTGTCAATTTTTATTCAATTTTTTTTTCCTGTGCATTGGTATTTTGCCATGGATGTCAGGTCCTTTGGAACTTGAGTTACAGACAGTGCTGAGCTGCCATGTGGATGCTGGGAATTGAACCCGGGTCTTCTGGAAGACCAGCCAGTGCTCTTAACCCTTGAGCCATCTTTCCAGCCCTTTATTCATTTTTTTTATTTATTTTATGTGTGAGTGTTTTGACTGTGTGTATGTCTGCGTATCATGCTTAGTGCCCTGGGAGCTCAGAAGAAGGCATCAGATCACTATCAGATCCCTAGACCTGGAGCTCCAGATGGTTGGGAACCACCATGTTGGGATGGGAATCCAATCTGCTCCTCCACAAGAGCAACAAAT